CCATAATTTTAGCATACACATACTCAAAAGTGAATTTATTCTGAAACTAATGAAACTGGAGCTTCAGGGACACTCAATTACATGAACTCCTTCCAATACCCTAAACATAATTTTAATTATGTAATGATATAATTCTGTTAAAGCACAGTTCCCAAAACTGGATAAGCTCCCAAGTCATGAAATATATACACTTTTTTCCCTGCATACACTGAAGAATTACTGAAGCACGGCCTGTCTATACTGGCCTCAGCTTGCCTTTCATTCCTTAAATGGATATACTATCCTCTAAAGTCTGTTTCCTCTGGATCCCAAGAGCGGCTAGTTGCTAAGCTTCCTAGTTGCTGTTCCAAACAAACACATAACTAATTTTTTTTCTGAAAGTTTAAGAGCTAATTACAATAGGGGATACAAAACAGGATAAGCAAGATGAGTTAAAATAAACACAGGAGAATTACAAAGAAAAAAATCTTGGTTGGGTGAGGTGGCTCATGTCTGTAATCTCAGCCCTTTGGGAGCCTGAGGCAGGAGGAATGATTGAGCCCAGAAGTTCGAGACCAGCTGGGGCAACATAGAAAGAAGCCATTTCTACAAAAAGTAAAAAATTAGCCAGGCGTGGTTGTGCACAACTGTAGTCCCAGCTACTCAGGAGGCTGAGGTAAGAGGATCACTTGAGCCTGGGAGGTTGAGGCTGCAGTGAGCTATGATTGCGTGACTGTACTACTCCAGCATGGGTGACAGAAGGAGACCCTGTCTCCAAAAAATTAATCAATTAGCTAAGAAAAAAAATATTTCTTGTAGGAGAGAGCTTAAAATATAACAGTAAAATCTTACAGTGTGCCCCAAACTTATCAATCTGCAGATTCAACACAGTCACAACCAGAATCCCAGCAGCCCTTTTTGCAGAAACTGACAAGCTCATCCTAAAATTCATATGGAAATGCAAAGGATCCAGAACGGCCAAAATAATCTTGCAAAAGAAGAACAAAGTTGAGGAACACTTCCTAATTTCAAAATTTATTATGAAACTAAAATAATCAGGATAGTGTGGTACTGGAATGGATGGAAATATGTAATAGATCAATGGAATAGAGTTGAGAGTCCAGAGATAAACTCTTACATTTATAATCAATCAGCGAGGGTGCTAACTATATGTTGAGGGAAAGAACAGTCTTCAAAAAACTGTGCTGGGACAAGCTGCAAAATAATGAAGCTGAACCTCTACCTCACACCATATACAAAAATTAACTGAGAACAGATTTTCATCTGGCCGGGCGCGGTGGCTCAAGCCTGTAATCCCAGCACTTTGGGAGGCCGAGACGGGCAGATCACGAGGTCAGGAGATCGAGACCATCCTGGCTAACATGGTAAAACCCCGTCTCCACTAAAAAAAAAAAATACAAAAAACTAGCTGGGCGAGGTGGTGGGCGCCTATAGTCCCAGCTATTCGGGAGGCTAAGGCAGGAGAATGGCGTGGACCCGGGAGGCGGAGCTTGCACTGAGCTGAGATCTGGCCACTGCACTCCAGCCCGGGCGACAGAGCGAGACTCCGTCTCAAAAAAAAAAAAAAAAAAAAAAAAAAAGATTTTCATCAACATAAATGCAAGAGCTAAAACTATAAAACTCTTAGAAGAAAACACAGGAGTAAATCCTCACGACATTGGATAAGGCAATGGTTTATTAGATGTAACACCAGAAGTAAAGGGAACAAAAGAAAAAATAAATTGGGTCTCATCAAAATCAAAAATTTCTCTAACCAGAATATGTAAAGAACTCTTAGAAGAAAATGATGAAGACAACTCAATTTTTAAAAACGAGCCAAGGATTTGAATAGTCATTTCAACATAAATATTAAAATGGCCAATAAACACATGAAAAGATGCCCAACATCATTAGTCATTAGGGAAATGCATATCAAAACCACAATGAGATATCACTTTACCCCCACTAGGATGGTTATAGCAAAAGACAAACAATATTAAATGTCAAGAACGATATGGAGGGTGGGCGAGGTGGCTCCGCCTGTAATCCCAGCACTTTGGGAGGCCGATGTGGGTGCACTGCTTGAGGTCAGGAGTTCAAGACCATCCTGGCCAACATGGTGAAATCCCTTCTCTACTAAATATACAAACATTGGCCAGGGGTGGTGGCAGGCGCCTGTAATCCCAGTTACTTGGCTGGCTAAGGCAGGAGAATCACTTGACCCAGGAGGAGGCTGTAGTAAGCCGAGATCATACCACTGCACTCCAGCCTGGGTGACAGAGACTGTCTCAGGAAAAAAAAAAAAAAAAAAAAAAAAAGGCCATGCGCAGTGACTCACGCCTGTAATCCCAGCACTTTGGGAGGCTGAGGTGGGCAGATCACCTGAGGTCAGGAGTTCGAGACCAGCCTGACCAACATGGAGAAATCCCATCTCTACTAAAAATACAATACAAAGTTAGCCGGGCATGGTGGCACATGCCTGTAATCCCAGCTACTTGGGAGGCTGAGGCAGGAGAATCGCTTGAACCTCGGAGGCGGAGGTTGCAGTGAGCCCAGATCGCGCCATTGCACTCCAGCCTGGGCAACAAGAGTGAAACTCCATCTCAAAAAATTTAAAAAAAAAAAAAAGAATAATAATATTGGAGAAACTGGTACCCTCATATATTTAATAACGGGAATGTAAAATGGTGCAGCTGCTATGGGAAACTGTTTGGTTGTACCTCAAAAGTTAAACCTAGAATTAACATAAAACCAAGCAATTCTACTCCTGGGCCCACACCCAAGAGAACTGAAAATATATTCATACAACAAACTGTATATTAATGTTCATAGCAGCATTATGCAAAATAGCCAAGACATAGAAACAAACCCAAGTGTTCATCCAACGATGAATGGATAAACAAAATTTGGTATATCCATACAGTAGAATATTATTCAGCCATAAACAGTTATCAAGTACTGAATGGAAGCACTACAACGTGAATGAATCCTGAAAACATGCTAAAGCCAAATACAAAAGGCCACACATTGTAATATTTTATATAAAATGTCCAGAATAGACAAATCCATAGACAAAGAGTAGATCAGTGGTTGCCAGGGACTGGGGGTAGGGAGGAATGGGGAGTGACTGCTAACGATACAAGTGTCTTTGGGGATGATGAAAAGGTTCTAAAATCACTTGTGGTGTTGGCTGTACAATCTTGTAAATATGCTAAAAACCACTGAATCGTACATTTTAAAATGGTGAATATTATTATACATGCATTATCCCAATAAGCCTGCTTTTTGTTTGTTTTTAGACAGAGTTTCGCTCTTGTTGCCCAGGCTGAAGTGCAGTGGCATGATCTAGGCTCATTGCAACCTCCACCTCCTGGATTCAAGCAATTCTCCTAACTCAGCCTCCTGAGTAGCTGGGATTACAGGCGCCCGCCACCACGTCCGCCTAATTTTTTGTATTTTTAGTAGAGTCGGGGATTTCATCACGTTGGACAGGATGGTCTCGAACTCCTGACCTCAGGTGATCCACCGACCTCAGCCTCCCAAAGTGCAGGGATTACAGGAGTGAGCCACTGTGCCCGGCCAATAAATCTGTTTTTAAAAACATCTTATACATGGCTTCTGGTCACCTGTCTATTGAAATAATAAAATAACACTCTTGACTTCTGTCCTTTATTTCATTTCTGAGGGCTGGTGTCACCAACCTCTATGCTTTCCTAACCCATGCTTTGGTTAAAAGCTCCAGAAAGTCTTGCCTGCAAAACGGTCTTTTACCCAGCACTGGTTATACTTCAGAGAGTTGGCTCAAGTAGGGAGATAAATATGAGGGCTCTCAGACTGGGTAATACTCATCTCAAGAAGCTCCCCATACACAATGACTTGGTATTCACACTTAAAAATTATGTAGACAATTTTTTCAAGCATAAATTATATAATTTGCAAACTTTTATTCAAATGTTGATTATACGCACATATATATCCAGGTTGTTTTTTCCAACTGGACCATTAAATCTCCAGAAAAGGCCCAAGTCTAAAGTCTGTGCCCTAATATTGCCCCAGTGCCCTGCACACAGTGTCCCATGTGGTCCTTTGTTTCAAGGGCTGATGATACCCTGTAACAACATGAATGTGGGAATTATATTCCAGTTCCATCACTTACTTAGCTTTGTGACTTTAGGCAAGTTGCTTAAATTGTGTGCCTCGGTTCACTCATTCCTAAAATACGGCTAGCAATACTTGCCCGTTGGTATTCAGCAAAAAAAAAAAAAAAAAAAAAAAAGTAATGTTGGTGACACGCTGAATACGGCATCTAGGACACAGAGATGTGAGGCAGTCTCTGTATACACTGTGTGGAGTCAAATCTTCTCCTTCCCATATATTTGCATTTTGACTGTTATTTGTTCTCTCAATCAGCAGCTTCCTCATCTGCAAAATTCTACGCCAAAAGATCGCTGAGAGGATTTTTAAAAAGAAGAAAAACAAAAAAGACTGGAACTCCTACCACACAGCAGGGTTTTGCTCAAACAAAAACAGAAACAAAAACGACCCTTTCTTTTCCACCTCCCCAGCTAAGGCGATTTCTTTAGCATCAACCTACAGCCTCCTAGTGCACCCAGCTGAAACGCCATCAATATCGCCGAACAGCTTCCAGACCTATCTGTGGACAAACAGTGATGCCTCCAAGAACGCCAACCGTAACCCCACATCAGGGAGCCATCTTCCAGTCAAGAAAATGAAAAGGTGTGCAAGAAAGACCTAAGGAATAAAATACCCCTCCCAGCAATCATCGATGACCCTTCCCACGTCGCTCGGGACCCAGCACAAAGACCGCAGTCAACACCGGCAAAGACTTTTCCTTTCTCACCCCACCCGTCCAGCTAGAGGGGACGTGGCGTGGGCAGCGATACAGGGGGAGGTCTGAGTGGTCGCAGGGCCCAAGACGCGGCGGCGGTGGGGGAGGGCGGAGCAGCCTCGGGGAAGCTCGGCACCCGGCGGTGCCGTTTAAGGGAGGGGTCCACCCTTACCTTCGCCCGCTTGCGCCGGCTGGTCCGACGCCCCTCCGGAGTCTCTGCTATTCCAGTTTCCATGGGGGTCGCAGACCCAGGCACGACGGTGGGCCCGGCCTGAGGCCCTGCGGACCCTGGCGGTTCGGCCAGGCCCCCGGGGGGCGAGGCCCGCGGAGGCTCTTTCTTGCGGGGTGTGCGCTCGCCGGCCGCCCCCGGCCCGACCTCGGCTGGGCCCGACAGGCCCGCGGGTTGCGCGGCCACCTCAGACCCATTCTCAGAGCCGCCCGCTGTCCCGGGGCCAGCCTCCGTCCCGGCTGCCGCCGCTGCAGCCGCCGCCGCCGCGGCTGCCGCCTTCTTCCCAGACAACATCTCGGGCCGCCGGGCCGCCGACGGCCGTAGGGGCCGCTCGGTCTGTCGCTCCGTGGGTCCGACCCGTCTCGCCTCGCCTCGCTTCACGCTGCCCGCGCGCCGCCAACCGCCGTCGCGTACGCACGCGCTAAGCGCGCTCCCGCAGCGCCGGGACAAAAAGGGCCGGAGACGCCCACGAGCCCCGCCCCTCCCCCACAGCCATAGAGTGGCGTTCTCGCGGCTAGAGCGGCGCCGCAGCAAAGACCGTGTAGCTTGCCTAGAGCGTCTCCCCGGCGTTTGGCGTGGGACCTGGCACCGTCCGTGGTGTTAGGGCTTCTGGGCCAGACTAAACCTCCGAAGGTGACCATTTCCTCTAGGGACTTGCGGGTTTGCATGCGTTCGTTCGTTCATTCACTCACCCAATTATTCGTCAGTTCTACCAGTATTTATTAATGCTTGCCCACTACGTAACAAGGGTTACATTATGAAGTTCTAGCTTTCAAAGAACTTACAGTCTAATGGGGAAAAACACTGAAATATGTTGGTAGAGCGTCTTTCTTATTCATAATTGCTCTGCTTGGACTGGGCAAAAAACTTGGAGAGCGTAGCAGTTTCGATAGTAGTAAAATGGAGACAAGTTAGGAAATCCAGGTTTGAGTCCAGACAGAATTGTTCTTGTCTCCAAGCCTTTGTTCATGCTTTTCCTTCTGTCTGGACCCCAACCCCATTCGCACCCCATGTCTTGCGCTTCTCCCATCCCCCATGTCCCTCATCCCCCATGTCCCCCATCCCCGCCGGCATAACACCTCTTTCTATTCCAGGTTAATTCTTTCTAATAATGATAGTAGTGGTTTATTCTTTTAATTTTTCGAGGAATCCCGTGCCGACCCAAAACTGGAACAGGTCTTGTCTACTTTTAGCATGTTTGTACTTACTACACAAACGATTGTCTTTTTAGTAGTCTGTCTCTTCAAAGTGAAATTGTCAAAAAGTTATTCCGTTTACATGAAGTTCAAGAACTGGTAAAACTAATCTCTAGTAATAGATTCCAGTCAGCCCTTGCCTGAGATGGGGGTCGGGGTCTGACTGCAAAAGAACAAGAAAGAACTTGCTGGGGGTGATGGAAATGTTTTATATCCTGATTGGGATGACGTTTACAGAGGTGTATATATTTGTCAAAACTCTATGAACTCTCCATGTAAAATAGGTATATTTTATGTAACTGTACTTAAGTAAAGTTGTTTTTCTAAAAAACTAGGCAAACAGACAAAAAGGCAATCAAATGTAAAAAGGAAAAAAGTAAAAGCTATGTAAGAAAGAAAATGTATCCGAGTGGGGTGGCATGCACTTGTAGTACCAGCTGCTTGGGAGACTGAGGTGTGAGAATCACTTGAGCCTCGGAGTTCAAGTCCAGCGTGAGCAACGTAGTGAGACTGCGTCTCTAAAAAAAAAGAAAAGAAAAAGAAAGAAAAATATAATCATAGTACAACATATGGCTCAGCTGTGAACTGTATTAATATGACCATAAAAACATAAGCAGTTAATATTGTTTTTATTTATTTTTTCTTTTCTTTTGTTTCTTTTCTTTCTTTCTTTTCTTTTCTTTTTTTTTTTTTTTTTTTTTTGAGACAGTCTTGCTCTGTTGCCCAGGCTGGAGTGCAGGGGTGCAATCTTAGCTCAATGCAACCTCTGCCTTCCGAGTTCAAGCGATTCTCCTGCCTCAGCCTCCCCAGTAGCTGGGATTACAGGCGCGTGCCACCATGCCTGGCTAATTTTTGTATTTTTAGTAGAAACGGGGTTCCGCCATGTTGGCTAGGTATGTCTCCAACTCCTGACCTCAAGTGATCCTCCCACCTCGGCCTCCCAAAGTGCAGGGATTATAGGTGTGAGGCACCGCGCCCGGCCGAGCAGTGAATATTGTTTTAACCTAAGTGATAGAATTACATTAAGAGAATGGAGAAAAAAGAAAGTTTGTGGAGAGAAAGATGAGAAGGTTTTAAGGATTTAGGGAAGTAGGGAGGTTGTTGGGGGAGGTGCTGCTCGGGAGCTAAATTATCTTTCACCGTAAAAATATAATACATAATGTTGGCCGGGCGCGGTGGCTCATGCCTGTAATCCCAGCACTTTGGGAGACCGAGGTGGGCAGATCACGAGGTCAGGAGATCGAGACCATCTTGGCTAACACGGTGAAACCCCGTCTCTACTAAAAGTACAAAAAAAATTAGCCAGGCTATGTGGCGGGCGCCTGTAGTCCCAGCTACTCAGAGACTGAGGCAGGAGAATGGCGTGAACCCTGGAGGCGGAGCTTGCAGTGAGCCGAGATCGCGCCACTGCACTCCAGCCTGGGCGACAGAGCGAGACTCCATCTCAAAAAAAAAAAAAGAATTCCTGGCCGAGTGCAGTGGCTCATGCCTGTAATCCCAGCACTTTGGGAGGCCAAGGCGGGTGGATCACCCGAGGTCAGGAATTCGAGACCAGCCTGGCCAACATGGTGAAACCCCGTCTCTACTAAAAATACAAAAATTAGCCGGATGTGGTGGCACTTACCCGTTTATTTCCCCAGAAATAACTAATTCATTTCAGATGTTTTTATTGTGATCAAATACACATAACATAAAATTTACAATCCTAACCATTTTGAGTATACTGTTTAGTAGTGTTAGATGCATTCACGTTGTTGCATAAACAATGTCCAGAACTCTTTTCATCTTGCGAAACTCTGTACACATTAAACAATGACTACATTTGCCCCTCCTTCTAGCCCCTGACAGCCACCATTCTACTTTTTGCCTCTATGAATTTGACTACTGTAGATAGCTCATATAAGTGGAATCATATGGTATTTGTTTTTTTTGTGACTATTTCACTTAGCTTAATGTCCTCAAGGTTCATCTATGTTGTAACATGTTAGAATTTCCTTCCTTTTAAAGGCTGGTAATGTTGTGCATATATAACATTTTATTATCCATTCATCTATGGATGGACAGTTTTGTTGCTTCCACATTTTGGCTATTGTGAATAATGCTGCTGTGAACATTGGTATACAAATATCTCTTCAAGACTCTGCTTTCAATTCTTTGAGAATATCCAAAGTGGAATTACTGTAGCAGTGTATGCTTTTTTTTTTTTTTTGAGAAGGAGTCTTACTGTGGTTGCCCAGGCTGAAGTGCAGTGGCGCGATCTCGGCTCACTGCAACCTCCGCCTCCCGGGTTCCAGCAATTCTCCTGCCTCAGCCTCCCAAGTAGCTGAGATGACAGGTGCCTGCAAACCACACCTGGCTAATTTTTGTATTTTTGGTAGAGACGGGGTTTCCATGTTGGCCAGGCTGGTCTCAGGCGATCTACCCGCCTCGGCCTCCCAAAGTGCTGGGACTACAGGCGTGAGCCACCGTGCCCGGCTAGCATTTTTTAAAAGCTAATGTCTCCACTGGGCACGGGGACTCACACCTGTAATCCCAGCACTTTGGGAGGCTGAGGTGGACGGATCATTTGAGGTCACGAGTTCGAGACCAGCCTGACCAACATGACGAAACCCTGTCTCTACTAAAAATACAAAAATTAGGTGGGTGTGGTGGTGCATGCCTGTAATCCCAACTACTTGGGAGGCTGAGGCAGGAGAATCGCTTGAACCCAGGAGGCGGAGGTTGCAGTGAGCCAAGATGGCGCCACTGCACTCCAGCCTGGGCAACCGAGTGAGAGTCCGTCTCAAAAAAGAAAATAAATAAATAAAATAAAATAATAAAAGTTAATGTCTCCAGTTGGGAGAATTCTTGAGGCTAGGAGACCAGCCTGGGCAATATAGCAAGACCTTATCTCTAAAAAAAAAAAATTTTTTTTTTAAATTAGCTGGGCATAGTGGCACATGCCTGAAGTCTTAGCTGCTCAGGAGGCTGAGGCAGAAGGATCACTTGAGCCCAGGAGTTGGAGGCTTCAGTGAGCCATGATCACACCACTGCACTCCAACCTGGGCAACACAGTGAGACGTTGTCTCAAAAATAAAATAATAATAAATAAAAAGTTAATGTCTAACTGTACAGAGTCCAAAACCTATCAATATTACATATTATATTAAACAAAGTTACCTTCCGCTAAGGTATCAGGTGACAAATAGATGGGCTAGTATAACTGTAAAAGCCTTTATGTCCAAGTTTGGATAGCTTTTCTTTGCCCCTGTGATGGTAGGGGCTCTGTATTGGCCATTTTTTTTGCTAGTTGCGAGGCCCAGAAGTACTGGTGAATGAATGAGGAGGCCTACATCACCTGGCTGTTGTGAGGACATCATGAGATAATGCTTGCAAACTGCCTGTCAAAGAGTCTGGCACATAGTGGTTGCTTCAGACATAGGAGGAGTTTTTATTATTGTTATGCGGCAGCTGGGTGGGGGGAGGGAGCTGGCTATGACTCAGAGGAGTGGGAGGCCATGACTCTTGTCATGGAGGGGCCTCAGGCAGGGTCCTGGGGCCTGTGTGCCTCCATGCCATAATGCTGGCAGAACTGGTATTTCTCTTTAGGAGTCTCCATGGGATACTTGCCTCCGCGGGCACCGTAGGAGCAGTGGCAGCTTGGCTGATGAGCTATAAGCCAGCCTTGTTTGGGTTCCTATTCCTTCTGCTGTTGCTTAGCAACTGGCTGGTCAAGTGTGAACACAAGCTCACCCTCCCAGAGCCTCAGCAGGTGAGCAAGAGGGGGCTTGGCTTCAGCTCAGGGATAGGGGGTATTTGCAGCTAGATTAGGTGGTAGGGAACAGGGTAGGTGTCGAAATAATGGGGCAAGACTGAGGAATCCAAGACTCTGGTCTAAATCACCACTCTACAGTTTCCTCTTAGGTGGTGCTGGGTAAATCACTTCCCTCCATGAGGCCTCAGTTGCCTCACCTGAGCTGTTAAATCAGGACCACCCCAGACTCTCCTATTTCATATTTGATGTCAACATGTTTTGGCAAGAGTAACAACTACTTTAATGTGAAAAAAGTCAAAAACATGAAAATGGATGAACATAGATACATCTCTAAAATAGAATAATGAAGACAGCAGAAATGTACATAGATTATGACATCTTTCATTTAATGCTAAAGAAAACATGCTAGGCTGGGTGCAATGGCTCACGCCTGTAATCCCAGCACTTTGGGAGACCGAGGCAGGTGGATCACTTGAAGTCAGGAGTTCAAGACCAGCCTGGCTAACATGGTAAAACCCCATCTCTACTAAAAATACAA